ATCTCACTATCCAGTTCAGACTGACCTTGAACTTACTTTGAAGCTGTTATGGTTTGTGTATAGTTGTCCCCCCAAAGCCTTGCGGTGCAGTCTTGGGGTGGCTTTTGGAGTTTGTGATTGAATGCTTTGGGTGTGGATGCAGCACCTGCCCTGTAATGCAGGTAATTTGTATTACAATGTAAGGAGGAAGAGAAGCTAGCAGATTGAGCTGCTGTTACTCCCTTGTGCTCTTGTTCTTTGCCACCTCCATGAAAGGCTGCCCTCTGCCATGTGCTGGTCTGCCTTGGAGCCAGCTGAGTATGGACTGAAACCTCCAGTAACTGTGCGCTAAATAAACCTTTCCTTCCTTCAATTTGGGTGTTGGGTATTTGTCCCAGCAATGACAAAAGAGTAACTAAGATAGCAGCCCAGGCTGGTCTCATACTCAGTGATCCTCCTGCCTCAGCCTCATGAGTTCTAGGGTTACAGGCGTGCCCCACCACACCTCCTAGGGTTTCAAATTGTTTACGTTTAACTTTTTCCCTTTTCGATTTACTTCTCCTTATTCAACTGGTCTCTTATTAGTTTGTATTTGTAGTACATGATGACTGAATTCATCACAGAAATTTGGCATGTGCATGTAACACATCGTAATTCTCCCTTGTTTTGGGTTTCCTTTCTTTTTTTTTTTTTTTTTTTTTTTTTTTTTTTTGTAGTGGGAATCAAACCTGGGACGCTTCTTTTCACGGAAAATTACAGTACTCTGGAAAAAGAGATTGTAGAGGATTTCAGAAAATGGAAAGATATTCCTTGCTCCTGGATAGGAAGAACCAACATCATGAAGATGGCCATACTCCCAAAATTGTTGTATAGATTTAATGCAATCCCTATTAGACTACCACCAACATACTTCGCAGACCTAGAGAAATTGTTCCTAAAATTTATTTAGAACCAAAAAAGACCTAGAATAGCAAAGGCAATCCTGGCCAACAAAGACAAAGCAGGAGGCATTACAATTCCTGACTTGAAACTATACTACAATGCTACTGTAATAAAATCAGCATGGTATTGGCAACAAAATAGACCTGAGGATCAGTGGAATAGATTAGTAGATGCAGAGGCCTCTAGGAACACACTCAGCCACCCAATCTTCTCAGCCACCAAACACGCTTACTGGAAGAAAGATAGTCTTTTTAACAAATGGTGCTGGAAAATTTGGCTGTCAACATGCCGAAAACTAAAACTTGACCGAGGTCTATCACCATGCACTAAACTAGAGTCAAAATGGACTAAAGAACTTTAAATGGATTAAAGAACATTAAGACAGAAACACTAAATCTAGAAGAGAAAGTAGGAGGATCTCCTGGAGACATAGGGGTAGACAAAGAGTTCATGAACAAAAAATCAAATTGCATGGGAAATACTCGAAAGAATTAACAACTCGGACCACCTCTTATTGAGAAGTTTTTGTAGGTCAAAAGAAATTACCAGGGGCCGGGGAGATGGCTCAGTAGAAAAAGAAATTACCAACAAAGTGAAAAGACAATCCACAAACTTCGAAAAAATCTTAACTAATAAGCACTCAGACAAAGGTCTGCTCTCTAGAATTTATAAAGAACTAAAGAACATTAGGGCCCCTAAATTTAAAGACCCAATCCAGAAATGGGCATCTGAGATGAACACACACTTTTCAGAGGATGAAATTAAGGAAGCGAATAAATATATGAAAAAATGCTCCTCATCACTAGCCACCCGTGAAATGCATATTAAAACAACACTGAGATACCATCTCACCCCAGAAAGAATGGCTATCATAAAAAAATCACCCAACAAATGTTGGAGAGGCTGTGGGGAAAAGGGAACCCTTCTCCACTGCTGGTAGGAGTGTAGACTGGTGCAACCATTATAGAAATCAGTGTGGAGACTCCTTAAAAAACTAGGACTGGAAATCCCATTCAAGCCTGCTATCCCCCTACTGGGAATTTTGCTGGAGGAACTGAAAGCATCATATCATAGTGATATATGCGTATACCTATGTTTATAGCAGCACAATTTGTGATAGCCAAATCTTGGAAACAACCAAGATGCCCATCACATGTGGAATGGTTGAAAAAGATGTGGTACTTTTATACAATGGAGTATTACTCAGCTATAAAGAATGATAAACTTGAAGCCTTCATATTTAAGTCAATACCACTTGAAGATATAAGTGAAATAAACCAGACCCACATGTATAAATATCATATTATCTCCCTAGTATAAGAACTTAAAAGAGGAATTACATATAGAAAGGTACAACACAAATAAAAGGAAAGCGAGAACTTGAGGATTGGACAATGAGGAGTGGGCAAGGAGAAAAGCTGAGAAACATGACACGGGCAAAGTCATGCATTTGTACGCATGAGATGGGTGGGGCAGTGATCCTGGGAGACACCAGCAGGTTTTTGAGACTAGTGGTTGGCTGGGGAGATTCTCACCCTGACTAACTGTATGTGCTGGTGCCTGTGAGCCAGGCGGCTGCACTGAGGATGGCGATGTGTAATAGAGAGGTCACGCTTGGAGTGCCTGCCATCCTTGTCTTCTAAATATGTACTTCTTGTCATGATATACCATTTATTGCCATAATGTCTCTCAAGTAAAGGTTTTTTTTTTTTTTTAAGGGTAATAAATGAAAAAAAGAAAGACACAAGAATAAGAAAAAAAAATGTCACAAGTCTGTCCTGTTACAATTCTGAATATGGTTAGATTTCTAAATTTCTTTGTAAAAATATGTAAATGCTTATTTCTACTTTTATAAAATTATTTTTCCTTCATATTCTGTAAGGACTTAAAGTTCAACATACCAATATTTGATGGAAAATACCTGTTCTATGACATGCCAAAGATGTTTGATATTTAGAGACAGGGTAAACCGAACTGCATATATTGCAGGTTAATAATAAGCTTCTCTTCTGGAAGGTTAACAATCTAAGTAGCAGTTCAAAATTGGAGAAAAGGAAGGGCTGCAAGGTCAGACAACATTTTGGCCCTAGCCTTTCAAGGTCAGTGAAGACTCGGGACATAGGAGAACCTGTACTGTAACAACACATAACTCAGTTGTGCTCCAAATTTTCTGATCAAGAAGATTATGGAGCCACAGAGGAATGCGATCGATGATGTATAGTGTGCCTGGGGAGAATCACATGGAGAGAAAAACATTTTCTTTGGCTTCCGAGAGCAAATTGGTCAAGCAATGGTCATGACTCATCCTCATGGCTGACACTGATAAAGGATCTACAAAGTGCGGTACAGGGCTACAAGATAAATCCTGAGGGGACTTGACTGACCTTATCAAATACAAAAGTTACATTTCTTGCTATATAGGTCTTGCTTTATCTTGGTCTTAACCATCCAGCAGAAAAGTATAAAAATGAGGTATATAAAGTAAAGCCACATTAATACGATGAGCTGTAAAAGGCTCAAATCAATAACTTCTGAGGATAACCCACTAATATTATAGACTGCTAGACAGTGTTGGATTGTTTAGCTGAATTCAAACACCTATAGTATTTAGATGCCAATAGAATATTCACCTCTGGCAGGATTAAACAAAAAAAAAAAGGTGGGGATACAAAGGAAAGATCATTTTGTATTTATATATGCAGAATAGTTAGGATAGATATACAGCTACTTTCACTTGATTCAATGAGAAGAAAGAGGTGTACTAATAATATTTGGACAGGCTATCCTGTCTGCTTCTTGTAGTATGGATAACCACTAAGAACATAACAATGTACAATGTATTGACTATCGAAACTGTCCTATTAATCAGCTTTGAAACTGTCTCATTCATATTTATTTCTAAATAAAATTAAAAACAAAAACAAAAACAAAAAAACCCAGGACCTTGCACTTGCCAGGCAGAGCTTATGGCACTGAGCTATCTCCTGAGCCCTCATCCAGTTTTTTAGCTGTTCAGTGAGTGTCACTGCAGCATCCCATCCCTGACTACCACACCAGGCCCACCCTATCACCCTGACTTTCCTGGGGGAACATTTTCCCTTCATGGTAACCATTTTCCTTGCTTCTCCTTTATTCTGTTTTCTTCTCTCCTTTTCCTACCCATCTCCTTTACTCAGGTCTTCTTCTTCTTCTTCTTTTTTTTTTTTTTTTTTTTGTCCTTTTGAGACAGGGTCTCGTTGTGCAGTTCAAGCTGGCCTTGAGCTCATTTTGTAGCCCAGGGTGGCCTCAAACCTGCAACCATCCTCTTGCCTCAGCCTCCTGAGTGCTGGAATTATAGGCATGTGCCACTATACCTGGACCTCAGGTCTTCTGTGACAACTTCTGGCTCAGTACAGAAATATAATATAGTATAGTATAGTATAGTATAGTATAGTATAGTATAGTATAGTATAGTATAATATACATATAATGTAGTTCTTGTGTATAACACACTTTTTATACTTTCAATTGTGTGTATCCAGGTTATCCCCAAAAATTATAAAGTCCTCAACATCTGCTTACATGTTCTTTGTCCTTTGTGCTTATATTTACAGTGGTGCCAGGGATGTAGCCCAGTGGCACAGTGCCTGCCTAGCAACCAAAGGACCTGAGTTTGATTCCTGGCACCAAAAGAAAAAAAAAAATCTCATAAACAAAATAGAACAATACAGTGAACTCAGAGAATCTTCTAAGGGGCAGGAGTGGTGGTGTGTGTCTGTGACCCCAGCTACTCATGGGGGCTGGAGGGTCATAAGTTTGAGGCCAGCCTGTCAAAAGAGAAAGATGGTTGAGGCTATAACTCAACCATCTCAAACATGACTTTATTTTTTCTTTTTCTTTGTTTCTTGTCTTTTTGAGACAGGGTCTCATTACACAACCAGTTTTTTTTTTGTTTTTGTTTTTTGTTTTAAAACAGGGTCTTGTTGTATAGCAAGTGCAG